TGGACCTCGGCGTGGGCCGGGTAACCCACTCGTTCGAGGTTACATCCCACCAGCCAACTGCTTTTTGCCTTTGAATGGAAGGACCCTGACACGTGTAGAACTAGGCAGCTCATCTGGAGCTGACTGTCCCAAGGGTTTAAAATTCCCCAACGATGGCCAGACAAGTAGGAGAATTTCTGGGGACATCTGGGTTTTGCAGGCTGACTAAGGAAAAAATTCTCCTGGACCCCAGAGCACCAGGAGGCATTTGATGCCATTAAAAAGGCCCAGCTGAAAGCATTGGCTCTAAGCCTTTTGATATAACTAACCTTTTACCCTTTATGTGGATGAGCATAAGGGGGTCGCCTGGGGAGTTTTAACCAAATCCCTAGGGCCGTGGGACAGAACAGTTGCTTATCTGTCAAAGAAGCTTGATCCTGTAGCAAGGGGAGGGCCTGTCTATCAAAAAGATATCACTGCTGACAAGTTGACTTTGGGGCATAAAGCAACAATAATAGCCCCCATGCATTGGAGAGCATTGTCTGGCAGCCACCAACTGATGATGACCAACGCCCGCGGGACCCACCACCAAAGCCTGCTTCTCACTGAGAGACTGAGCTGATTGTGTTCGCTCCACCAGCCAGCCTCATCCCACCACTCTTCTGCCTGTGGAGACTGGTGAACCAGGGACTCATGACTGCCATCAACTGTTGGTTAAAGAGACTGGAGTTTGCAAAGATCTTAACGACATCCTGCTGGCTGGGGAGATGATGACCAGTTCACTGCCAGGATCAGTTACATTATAAAAGGTAAAGAAAGGACTGGGGCGGTGGTACTGCTCGACGAAGAGAAGTCCATAAACATTAACAGGCAACAGGTATGCTTTTTCAACTGTTCATGTGCATGGGACTGTCTCAACCATGTGGTTAAAAAAAATTACTGAAGAAAATTTTCTGAAGATTCAAAATACCTAAGGTAGTAAAATCAGACAATGGTCCAGGTTTTGTGACCCAGGTAAGTAAATCACTGGCCAAGATACTGGGGATTGATTAAAATTACATTGTGCATACAAAACTAACAATTCATGTAGAAAGTATAAATAAAACCATTGAGGAGACCTTCACTAAATTGACTGTGGAGACTGGCGTTAATGATCAGATAGCTCTCCTACCCTTTGTGCTTTTCAGGTTTAAAAACACCCCTGGACCGTTTGGGCTGAGCCCCTGTAAATGGCTCTTTGGTGGGCTCCCTCCACTGGTGGAAATTACCTCTGTACATAGTGCTGATGTGCTGTTTTCTTAAGCCTCTGTTTGCTAGGCTTAAGGTGCTCCAGTGGGTGAGACAGTGAGCAAGAAAGCAGCCCTGAGAGACCTACGTGGTGGGAGTCGTGGAAGTTTCACATTACTTCCAAGTTGGAGATCGAGATTTTATTAGATGTCACTGCACAGAAACCTTAAGATTCGGAGGGAGGGAGGGAAGGAGGAAGGAAGGGAGAGGGAACTGGGATCGACATGTATAATAATAAATTACAAAAAAAAAAAAATATGCTTTGACTCAAAACATTAAGTTCAAGGACAAGTTACTGGGGAAAAGGATATCTATTCTATTTTTTTCCACAGAAAACGAAAAGCTGTGGATTTCTTCCATACTAATGTGGTTTGATCAAGCCAGACCACCTGCAACAGAGTACCAAGTGAGCCTACATTCAAAACAGCTGGAAAAAGCAGCCTTGCAGAATACAGCCAGGATTTCAGCATCTTCTTAGAATCCCCCATGAGAGCGCCCCTTACCAGCAGGAAGTGGTTTGGAAAGAACGACGCCCAAATTCCCAAATATTGTCTATAGATGTTTGTTTTCATTTAAATGGACTTGGTTATAAAAAATAAATAATAAAAAAGACAGAAAAATACTGTTAAAAGTTTATGACTATCCTCTAAACTTAGTAAAGCAATGCAAGAGTTCTTATCAATGCTTTTAACAGTTTACTGCTAAGAGACAATGACTTTTCTCTAACTCAGTAAACCAAATCTCTGGTACACTGACCACAGGCAGGTGAAAATAAGTGTTTTTTTTTTTTTTTTTTTTTTTTTATCTCATGCTTCAAAGGAATTACTGGCATTTTATAATATGTCTGTAAATTGTGACCAAAGATATGTTCCTTGTAATTTCTGTATAAAAACCCAATACTCTAAAGTAAAAATGGCAGCAGTTGCAAAACACCTCCAGTGTGTTTGTTTCTGTCAAGACGAAGCCACTCCTGACATGGTCATCGAGTTTTGGTACCCATGGGGGCACATCACCCACTCTGTAGCATGAGGTGTTATTGGCCTGGTTGTACAGGAACTTCCAACTGTAAGGAAATAAAAGCAGGAAGCAGATCAAAAAGTTGATAATTTGTCTTTCTCTCATCAGAAAGCTTGATCATTGCTCTATAACTGTAGGAGTTTTATTCCTGAACCTCAGAAAAACCACTTAACAAACACAAAATTATAAAAAGAGTATTCTTCATGGAAAGTTGAAAATTTAGAGAGGAATGGAGCTAGGAAGATTTTTGTTTATGAACACTACTGTTAGCCAGCACATCTTACTCAGTGAGCAGTTTTAAACAATCTGCATTATTCAAGAATTCAAGCTTTGTAAGACCCTCAGAATGAGGAGTCTCCCAGTTTCCATCGGTATCCCCAAGAACTCAATGTCCAGTCCAGTTGCTGCAACATGCAAGAGGCTTTAATGAACAGGAAACATTTGTGCAAAGGGGCCCCTCCAGCATGCAGACTAGTGAGAAGAAGCCATCTCCTCCCTCCACCCCCTCCCCCCGGCACAGGTGTTTTTAAAGGCAAATACCCCATGCTTAGGGAGGGGGTGGGACCCTCTGTCCATTGAGTACATGACCCTTTTAGCTGGTCTCCCTATTAGGGTCAACAGACCTTAGGGCCTCAGGGTGTGCTAATTAATCTTGTCTGGGCAAACCGGAGGTGCAGTTATCTATTTGTTTCTTAAAGACCCTATTCAACACCTGCTGACTCACAAGAAAGGATGGACAGTCTGAATTCTGGGTATCTTGTTTTCTCAGGGCCTTGTGAGGGTAAGTTAGCAGATTCCAAGGAACAGATATTGCTAGGGGTTAACTTTCCAGTTTAGTCTGTCCTTCATTTAAAATGGGGCATTTCTCTAACTTTACTTTTTTGTCTTTCACGCCCTATATCTTATCTCTAGAGAGTAAAGTTCTAGTACTCTGATCTACAAAGCACCCCACCCAGAACCCGCACTTTCCCCACCCTGTGTCCTACTGCACCCACTTTTCCACTGGTCTGGTTGAGCACTGGGACAGAGAGCGGGTCAAAAAAACACCTCCACCTCCTGAAAATTTCTTGGACCTGCTTTGAAAATACTGGACCCATCTATCCCGCTGGAGCAACCAGAGTGCCCGCCTGCCTGATGTTTATCCGTCATTACTGAGGCTCTGCCGGGGGAGAGACCTCCTAGAGTGACTGGAACAGACAGAGTTACAGTCATTGAGCACCTCTCACAAATCTGTCCCCAGGAACTCCTTTGCAAACACACGGTTCCGGGACTGTCCCCTGCACCGCTCACAAGCGGCTGCGATCTCAGGACTTCCGCCTTCCGGTCACGAACTAAAGCTTCCGGTTCGTGGCTGTCAGTGTCCCCGGAAGACACACATGGAAAACATGCTTCTAGTTCCACCCGGCCAAACTGACACACGATTTCCGCTTGTGAACCAAGGACGTCAGGCTTCCAGTCACTGACTTGAGCTTCCCACACAAAATGGTCCCCAGGAAAGGTTGCAACGAAGAGATGCACAACTTGAGTTCCACCCTTGAAGTAAACAGGACGGAGTGCGCTGCAGCCTGAGTTCCGCTTCCGGCACATTACTTCCGCTTACGGATGGTGCAGCATGCGATTCCCTGCCCACCGGGCGGCTATTAAATCGGATCCGCTTTCGGCCCAGGAAGGGAATTGATCGCATCGGACATTGCGGGCCCGATAGGAAACGCCTTAAGGGACGGGACTAACAGGTCCAAGTGAACAGGTCAGAAACGGCTGATTCTGACCCCCAAAAGAGGCAGCAGAGAGCATATTCCCTGTCACTCATCGAGGCGGTAGGTGGGACTTCCGGGTGCGGCGAACAGGGCAGAAACAGAGATCGCAACCCTAGGTCCGTGCACCCCTCTGGTTTTCGCTGTTTCCTGTTTATGCCACGGTTGGCAGCAGGGTTCCTGTTGCCGGGGAAACTGGGGTGGGACTTCCGGCAACATGGTAAATCGGGGCGGGACTTCTGCATGGGAGCATTGACCAGGAATTAATGACTTAGAGAGGTTCACAGGGGATGGGCGGTGTCACGGGAGCCGTGATGTCAGAGGAGTTACAGGCGTGGCCTGTAGGGCACACAGCTGTCAATCAAACACCTGTCATTCACTCATTCATTCAGTCATTCACAGTCAGCCACTCATTCATTCAATCACTCATTCATTTAGTCATTCATTCATTTATTCAGTCATTAATTCATTTACTCAGTCATTCACTCATTCATTCAGTCATTCATTCAATCATTCATTCATGCAGTGCATTCATTCATTGATTCAGTCATTAATTAGTTCATTCAGTCATTCATTCACTCATTCAGTCAAAGGTCAGTCATTCATGAAATAATTCAGTCATTTCATCCATTCATTCATTCATCAATCATTCATTACATCCATTTAGTCTTCTCCAATCATTCATTCATTCAATCACTTCCTGTGTGTCCCTGGAAGCCTCTGGCGGGCTTCCGGTCCCTGAGGCTAGGCTCTGACATAGACAGGCATAGGCAGGATTTCCTGTTTCCTTTTACCTACACTGTAGCCCATGGCCATCTTGAACCCCGCCATCTTTTTGTCACCACCCAGGGGCAGGAAATAAGTCCCACATCATCTCAGAGGAACAGGAATTGGTTGTCTCAAGCCGGGAGTTGACAATTTCTGGTCCCTCCCAGAACGGACCGGTGACCCCCCAGACCGGAAATGTGCGATCCTTTCAACATGGAGCTGGTTCCACTCACCAGGCTGCTGCAGGGGAAGAGGGTGGTGCTGGCGAGCAGCTCCCCCAGGAGGCGGGACATCCTGTCCTCCATGGTGACTTCCAGGGGCAGGGCCTGCTCTGGGATTGTCAGCTGTGACTTCCAGGGGGTGGGGCCTGCTGTGACTGACAGCACACCCCCCCCCCCAGGGACTGCAGTTCGAGGTTCGTACCCTCCCACTTCCAGGAGTCCCTGGGAGAAGGCGAGGTGGCTCCGGCGGCTCCGCCCCGAATATGCCGGCGGGAGACAGCAAAGCTGAAGGCTCTGGAGGTGGCGTCCGGCGGCTGTGCAGGGTGAGGAGGGCCCCCATCCCTTCTGGTCCGGTGGTGGCCCCCCCCCCCCCCCCTCCAGGCCCCGCCCACCAGGGGGGCCCCCCCCCCCCCCCCCCCCCCCACCCCCCTCACCCCCCGCCCTCTGCTCTGCAGGACCTGCACCCTCCTGATGTCATTATTGGAGCTGACACCATTGTGGTGAGTGAGGCCCTGCTCCTTCCGGCCCTGCCCGCCCTGCCCCTCACTGACCCGGCCCCTTGGCGTCTGGCTCCGCCCACTGCAGGCCGTGGATGGCGTCATCCTGGAGAAGCCAAAGGACAAGGATGATGCCTACAGGATTCTGCGCAGGTGGGCGGGGCCTGAAGGGGCGGGGCAGACCCACCCAGGGCAGAGTGGGCGGGGCCTCTGCATGGAGCTCCAGCCTCTGCCCACCCCAGCCCTGCCCCTTGCCAACCACGCCCTCTCCCGCCTTTCCTGGCCCCGCCCAGGCTGAGTGGCCAGCAGCACAGTGTCATCACCGTTGTGGCCATCTTGAGGCCACTGTGGCGGAGGCAGCTTCAGGAGCCGAGTTCCACATGCCCAGAGGCCCCAGAGGCGGAAGGGGACCCAGAAGCAGAAGTGGAATTGTCACTGTTCCACGAAGAGACCCATGTGACATTCTCGCGGCTATCGGAGCCACTGCTGTGTGAATACGTGGAGAGCGGGGAGCCTCTGTGAGTGGGTGCGGGGTGGGGTGGGTGGGGCCAGGAAACCTGGAAGTGAGGCCTGAAAAGGAAGAGCTGTCCCCGGCGGGCGTGGGTGTGGCTGAGCATGGCACCTGGTGTGACTTCGTCCCTGCCTTGCACCCAGGGACAAGGCTGGTGCCTACGGGCTTCAGGCGCGAGGTGGTGCCCTAGCAGAGCGCGTGGAAGGAGATTTCTTCAATGCCGTGGGGTTTCCACTCAACCGCTGCATTCGTGAGCTGGCTGCCATCTTCCCGGATGTGGGACCACAAGTCCCTGTCAGCCAGCGTCCGGCCACACCCCAATAATGAGGATTGTAGATGGAGAGTGAGTATGTGAGTGACTGTCTGGGCGGGAATTCTGGTGAGAGAGTGACTGAAGGGGCGGGTCTTCTGGTGAGGTTGTGAAGCAGTGATCCATTTCCCATGATGCCCTTGGTGCATTGTGTTTGATTGACAGAGCAAGGTTCCCTCAAGTGCATCACTTCCCAGTGCTAGGACACAGGACATGGGGTGAGGTGTGTGGAGGCAGGGTTAGGGGACAGGCCCACCGAGGGGGAGTACACCTAAACCCGCCCCTGTGGCCCTGCCCCTCCTGATGCCCCGCCCTCACCATCTCCATGGGCCCTGCCCTTGCCCCCACTGGGTCCTGCATGAGCAGCTTCACCATCAGATGCCTGTGATGGACATTTGACATCAGGAGCAGGGTCAGGGGAGGCCCCACCCCCTGCCCGCACTCTGATTTGCATATTCAAGAGCTGCCTGGAGACTCAGAAGACATCAAGTACAGAAACTGCTGGGGTTAATTTGCATGGCCACACCTCCAAATGACCTAACCTGCATGTATTTGCAGGTCAAAGTCCCAAACAGATGGGAATACTTGCATTCATTTGCATAGCAAAAGCATGCAAAGCAGCATAAATTTGCATGTTAAAGTGCATTTCCAAAACTGGGGTTTGCTCATTTACATACTCAAATGCGAAGCCCCAATCAGACTTCCAGATTTTCAGGCACTGCTTATTTGCATAATCAAAATTACTAGTGCAACCTTTACATAACAGTTTAGTAGCTTCATTTGCATATTTAAATGAGTGGCAGGGTTTTACTGCTCAGCATCAGGCCCCACCCCTTCAGCACTACCTTGGCTCACCTGTCCCCTACCCCGAGGTCACAGTGTCCAAGGTCACAATCAGTGACCCTCTCCAGGCCCTGCCCTCAACCACACCAGGCCCTTCCCCACTTTCTCTCCTAGGGTCCCCGAGGGCAGGGCCGGGGTCTGGATATTACCTATGGTGCAGACAGGACTTTTTCCAGGCAGTGACATCAAAGGAAATTGTGACCATGAGCAGGAAGTGCCCTCCTTCCCTACCCTCACCATCTCCACCCCCAGCTGGGCATGGCAGGAGTCTCCTACCAAACTCTTAGGTTACCAAGCAGCAATGCTAGGACCCAGAGGGCAGTGGCCATGGTGAGCAGGTTATGAGAGTTAAAAACCCTGAGGATGCTGAGTGTGGCCCCTGTGACATCACAGAGCTCACCCCTCCAGGCCCTTGTGATGTCAGTCACCGCAGGACCTGCCCCTCCAGCTGTCAATCACTACAGACCCCACCTCCTGCCTCTGGGCCATGAGGTCTGCTGAGGGTGTGATCTATAGGCTGACTGGGCGGGGCCATGTCAGCTATCTTCATAACGGTAGAGGGGCAGGCTGCAAGCCGAGGGCTGGATTTCCTGGCAAGGGAAACCTGGTAGTAGAGAGTCAGGTCAATCATCAAGGGTGGGGCATGAATTCTGTTCCCAGATCGCAGCCAAGGCTGACCTGAGCCAAGGCCATCAGGAACTTTTGTAACTGCTGTGACTGGGACTGCATTTCCCAGCATCCTATGTGGCCACTTACTGCTTCGCTGCCCAGAGACTTCTGGGTTTGGATGTTCATGTCCAGGACTGCATTTCCTAGCATTCTGTGCAGTCGATTCCTGCCTTTATGCCCCGGGACTTCCGGTTTTCATCTGTACCGGCCAGGGACTGTAGTTCCCAACATGCTCGGCGGTGGCTTTCTGTTTTCAGCAATGAAACTTCCAGTTTGTAGTTTTTGGAGGCCCAGGATTCCATTTCCCAGCATCCTCTGTGGCCACTTCCTGCTTCCCTGCCCAGGGACTTCTTATTTTCATCTTTGGCAGCCAAGGACTGTATTTCCCAGCATGATTTGTGTCTGCTTTTCTATGAATGGACTTCCGGCTAAAAACTTTGGGGTCCAGAACTGCACTTCCCAGCATGCTGTGTGGCTGCTTCTTTCTTTTCTCCCCTTGACATTCTCTTCTGGACTTTAAGGCCCCTAACTACAGTTCCCAGCATGTGCTGGGCTTGTTTCGATCTTTTCAGTTCATAAACTTCTTCTGGTCTCTGAGGCTCCAGGACTCCATTTCCCAGCTTCCTGTGGTGACGCTTCCTGTTTTTTCTGTCCTGAAACTTCCACCATTTAAAGGCACATAATAATTTAGAAATATTTGAGACTTAGAACAGTTGAATTTAAGTTGTATGAAGTTAGCTTACATTTACATAAAGTTAAGTTGAAATCGAATGTACAGATATATTATTCAGGACTGGGTAAATTGAGAAGGACAAGAGTGTGAAGCTATGTATAACATAGTCAGAGAAAAAAGATATTACAGACAAAGAATAAAAGGCAAACGGTAAATGACTTACAGGTTCTGTTGGCGGCAGAAGCTGGCTAGACTCTTTCTGCCTAGATGGCTGATGTAGCAGAAAGAAGAACCATGGTGGGTAAAGCTAGGCCACATGGTCAAGATGGTGGCTGCCATAAACATATTCCCAACAACTGAAAGAAATTGTAAAGTTTTGAGATATAATTTTGTCTTGAGCAGATGCTGCCTCAGCCCAGCCCACCATGCTGAGACAGGTTGCAGCTGGGGCAGGCAGGAGAATTTGAGCGTGCCGGGAAGAGAACCGAAACAAGTTTAGGGAAAGAGATTGTTTAGCAGAGATATATATATAAAAAAAATGCCTTCCATCTATCTGTTCCCTGGCAGTAATTTGAAAGATCCCATAAAATATCGGGATCTAGAGAGCCGTTACGTGGCCAATTTGAATTATTTTCTAGGGGATATCTAGGCTACTTTTCAGTACAAAGGTAAATAAGTCTGGGTGACTTTACAAGTGGCATTAAGTGAAAGGGTTTTAAATTTTCTATCAGGCATCCCAGTGGAGTGGTGGGGGATATTTCCTTGGTAGGTTTATTCCCCATGGGAGGAGTGAAAGTGACCATGCAGTCTTGGAACTCATCAGCCCAAGAGTGTGGCCACACGATTTGCGAGAATGGCAGAGCGTTATTCGAAGCTGGTTAGCCCGAAAACGTTGCCAGGACCAACAGAGGCCAGAAAGACTCAGCAGTCTGAGAGCAGAGCCGATATACCACACTGGGCTGTATGTCTTCTACCCATGGAATGTACCTGACCTTAAGGAATTGGGTTAAAATGTAAAAGTTTACCTTACCTAATTGAAGCCTGTGTGGGGTGGTATTTCCAGTGAACGGGGGGGGGGGGGGGGGGGTGGTGGTGGAACGCTGGTATCTGAAACAAGATCCTGAGTGTTTCTGGCTGGCCGCCCACCAGCAGACAGCTGTCAGTGACCCTCATGTAGAGCCTGCCTGGGTTTCGGCACCAATGTTGTTCTTTTGCTGTACAGCTAATGCCTAAGAAACACAAACGCGAGACTCAGCGCCCACGTGGAGATTGTTGAGAGAAGGGAGAGAAAGAGGGGGTAGCTGGTGGCCAAATGAAAGCACGAGAGAAAGAGGGGGTGTGGGGCACTTGCTTTAAAAGGGGAGGCTTGCACATGTGTAACTGAGTCCTCTGGCTGCCAGGTAAACCTTGAGCCGTCAGGTAAAGCTGATGTAGCAATGACATGGCCATGAGGGTCCTGCCCATCTTCGGGGGGGGGGGTCAAATGGCTGCTAGTTCCTAACAATCAGATTACTAAGTGGAGTCACTATTTAGCTACACATGTAGTTAAGTGTAAGCCACTAGTTAGAGACAAAGTAACCCACTAGTTAGCCACACATACTATCTCACTAGTACCCACACACACCATGCCACTTGTTAGCCACATACTTAACTCACTATTTAGCGACACATATGAAGTCACTAGTTAGACAAACACCTAAATCAATAGTCAGCCCCACACCTATGTCACTAGTTAGCCACAAAAACTAAGCCACAAGTCCATCACACAAATAAAGCAGTACTTAGCCCCACACACTAAGACAGTAGTTAATCATACACCTAAGTTAATATTTAGCTACATCCCTAAGCAGTAATTAACCACATTGACTAAGTCACTAGTTAGCCACAAAGCTAGGTTACTAGTTAGCCACAGTCTCTATGTCTCTAGTTAGTTACACACAATATATCACTACTTACCCACCCATACTAAGTCAGTAGTCAGCCACACATCTAATTTACTAGCTAGTCACAAACACCAAGAAAATAGTCAGCCACACACACACTGAGATAGTAGTTAGCCATGCACCTATGTATTTCTATGTATTTAGTCAACTACACACCTAAGTTACTAGTTAGCTACCAACACTAGGTCACTAGTTATCCACACACATTAAATCAGTAGTTAGACACACACACTATGTCACTAGTTAGACACATACTAAGTCTGTCTAAAAGAAAAACAGCTCACACTAAGGTGGTCCCAGGACATGGGAATCAGGCCTTTATTCCCAGCAGCAGGGATTTGGAGATAGGAGTGACATGGCTGGACAGAGAGAGGAAGATAAGGTAGAGGAGCGAGTAGAGCATGCTGTGAGATGATTTTGTTTGAGAAGTTAGTCTGAGGGATTGAAGCAATAGCAGTCAATCTGAGGAGGCAGTGTGAGGACAGGAACACATCGCTTGTCTGAGAATAGGTAGAGATAACAACTCTAGTAGCCAGATACTCTGAATCTGTGATCCTTCAATTTTCACCTTCCCCTCCCTGTCAGATTACTGTGAGTTTTTATTATTAAGATCTATTAGAACTTGTGCTGGAAGTGATGTTCTCTCTGTGGAGGTGTGATATTTCAAAGTCAATAGAGGTAAAAATTTTCAATTATTAAAATATTAACTTTATTTTTTTGAAAATTACATTGGTATCTTTTTAATGTTTTTAATTTGTAATTTTTTTATTATACTTATCAAACCAGTTCCCTCCAACTTACTCCCACCCTCCTTCCCGTCCCAACTTCCCAGGCCCCCAGCCACTCTCTCCTCCCATCCAACCAACACTATACACGTAGGTGGATGCCTTCCAGGAGGGGTCATCTAAATCCTTCAAGTCATTTTAAGTAGACACTAAAATGTCTCTCCTGTCTCAGGGT